CCCAGAAGATACATTATCAAGTAGGGCTAGGGTGCTGTTTCTTAATGTTACTCATTCAACTTCAGCACAGGCATTTTTGCACATACTCTTATCTCTTACCTTGCTTAATCAGCTCCTTCTAGAGGGAACCATTTAATCACAATTGGGGTTTTCAGTGCAGAGGTGAAAAAAGGCTGTTGGTCTCTTGTTTTTATGAGACTAAGTATTGCTCAATATAAAGAGATTTACCCAGTAAGCAAATGAACAGAATAAATGCAAAACTGAGGGATGCTGTTACTCTAAAAACTCAGAAGCTTGAGTTGGGGGGGGGGGGGGGGGAGGGAGGAAAATACATTTTAGGAAGATGAGTCACATGTCTGTGCTACTGTGCAGTGTTTGTGCTACTGTACAGGCACCTGGCATTTGACTGCATTCAAAATAGTCTTCCTCCTACAGATTTAAAAAGTAACCAAACTAATGCCTGGTTTTCTCAGAGCAGAGATGAGTTTAGTACATTTCAGAAACAAAGGAATGGATTGACTTATTAATATCCTGGTGTGTCTGGCAAAATGTTTTTTTGTGCACAATGCCTGCTCTGGGAGGGAGGAAAACCCAGCAGAGTTGATTTGAATCACCTATTTAAACCACACAAGCAAACTTCAGATGATACCTTCTCCCCCTGCCCTGGGGGAAGACTATGGAGTAATTGCATGAACCTGATGGGAATTGTTGCCTCCATGGCAGGACTGGAATGAATGGCAGCTGTGCAGTAACATCTTCAACAGGCACAACTGTTTGCAGAGTAAACACTTGCCCAGAACCTTACTACTGCAGATGGACTATGTTAACAGAAGGATTCCATCAGCTTATCTGTAGCACCTTTCTCAGAAAGGCAAGGCTGTGGAATGGTCCTTGAATCCAGAGCTACCTCTGCCTGTGGAAGAGGCTGTCCCTGCTCTGCCAGCACAACTCTTCACTGCTTCTTACATAACGTTACTGTACAGCTCAACTGAAAGCTTAAATGGCTGGCCTAGAATAACCTTCACAATATTGCTTTAAACATATGCAGCAATGCTTCCCCTGGGATAAGGTAATAACCTCCTCAAGTGAGACAAAAACATCTGGATTCATGGGTCCTTAACTAAGCCAGCAATGGCATTCCTCTACCAGGGGTTTACTAGGCATTTTGGCTTTGTGTCAAATACTCAACCACTGGGTAG